GGTTGAAGTAGTGAGAATGTTCATTATGGATATGATATAAAAATTCTATGAACATCTAGTTTCCTGAATTGCTTCCATGATATTCAGGTTACCAGCGCAACTAGGAGTAAACATGCCAGCTCAGGCTTATCCCAGGCAAGAAAATGAGGCAGATTCAGTAGAAGTTGAACCCTTCGAGGTCTCTGATGTTGTTCTCTATATGGGCATAATTGATATCTTGCAGAAATGCAATGTGAAAAAAAGAGCCGAACACGCTACAAATCAGTGAAATTTAATCCATTGGAAATATCTCTTGCCAATCCCCGGTTCTATGCTCAACGCTTTATCAATTTCTTGCAGCAAAAAGTTTTCCCTGAGCAATCAACATCTTCCTCCTGACTGCCATTGTTTCTTAGTATTATCTTGTATTTTCCCATCCTTTTAGGTTTCTTTTACACAAAATACAACCATTCATTGTTAAGGGATGCCATCTGCAACCTATACATAGTACTGTTTGTAAAGGGGTTATTGTTTCTGGATATGTTAGAGACAATGATTCATGAGTTGCAATATTCTTTGGTTCTTGCATAAAAATTCCACAAGTCTTTTATTTTCAAAAAGAAAAAATATATAAAAAAAATCTAAATAAATAAATAAATAATTCTTGAGTCTTGACCAAGGAAAGGATGTATATTTCCCATCTCAGCTCGCCACCTGTCTTGTCATCTTGAATGCCTCCAAGACAAATCTGACTGACCCGAATTAAAGTCATCATTTTGGGAGTTACAAATATCTTTCAATTAATGCAGAATTAAAAGAATGAAAAACTCTCGGGGTGTGGTTATACATTGCTACCCATTCTTTTGTTTTTTTTTGGGTATTTTCACTCACTCTTTTATTAAAAATATCAAAATATGTGTTAAAAAAAAGTTTTTTTTTTTTTTTTTTTTTTTTTTTTTTTTTTTTTTTTTTTTTTTTTTTTTTTGGCAAAAGCTTAAAAATAGTCCCTTACCTTAATAAGTTGGACGATTTTAGCTCTCACCTTATAATATAATAATTTTAGTTCATAACCTAAATGAAAGAAAATAACCCTTACTTTTAACTTCTATCATACTTACGTCACTTTTTTCATTATATTTTCGTTAATTTTATTTGGCTTATACCTATAATAAATAAAAAAAATGGGAATGCTTCTCCAAAACACCTGATGTTTTTTTTTATTGGGAATTCCAACTTTTTTATTTTTTGAGAATTTTAACATTTTTTTACCTTCATTTTTAAAGATAGCTACACATATATTAATTATATATATTTATTTAATAATATGTAAAAATTATATACAATTAATATATGTGCAACCATCTTTAAAAATAAAGATAAAAAAATGTTAGAATTCTCAAAAAAAAAAAGTTGGAATTCCCAAAAAAAAAAGCATCTGGCTTCTTGGAGAAGCTTTCCCATTTTTTTTATTTATTATAGGTATAAGCCGGACGGAAAAAGTGACAGAGGTGACGGAGGTATGACGGAAGTTAGAAGTAAGGGTTATTTTCTTCCATTCTTATAGGTTAAGGGTTAAAACCGTTATATTATAAGGTGATGGGCTAAAACCGTCCAACTTATCAAGATAAGAGGTTATTTTTAGGTTTTTGCCTTTTTTTTGGGTATTTTCACTCACTCTTTTATTAAAAATATCAAAATATGTGTTAAAAAAAGTTTTTTTATTTAATTTGATTATTAAAAATAATTATTAATTATTAAATTAAATTAAAAAATTAAAATCATTTTATAACTCAATATTTTTAAATAATATAATCATTTATTTTAAAAAATTATAAATATCAGTTAAATAAAAT